GTTCCTCTTAGCTCGAATATGTGCAGGTAAAACACCTCAAACATCTGAACGTGAGACGAATTTCTCATTAAGTGACCGAGGTGTAGTCTAGGCGGGGTTAAGTTTTACGTGAGTAAGACAGTCATATCCGTTGCGCCAGTTTGCCGATCCCAATGTGAGATAGCGAAGCAATCGGAACTGGACGCCGAGCGGGAATTGGAATCGCGGATCGAAATTCAAAATTGCACTCACAACCGTGTGCTGAAATCTTGTGCTACTGAGACACAGAAAGGTCATAGAAGGAGTTGCTCATTTATTGCAAGAAATAGATGCAAGTGAATAATATATGCTAAATTATATTGTTATTTGAACAGTATTGACCAATCGTAGTTCATGCGCTGATGAACACGTGATTCCTATTCGAACCGAGTCGATTGAGACTGGTCCAGAACACCGTCCGGAGCTGTGTCGATTCCTTTTTTCGCTGTTGTTGCTACGGAGTGTATAATCACCACAAATGGAAAGCCTCATCCGTGACTGTGAATAGACGCAGGGTTAATGGACTTGACTATGAGTGAGAAAGTCAAATTAAAGATTAAATTGTTGTTGAGAACGCCAGCTAAGTCGTGAGATATCCTCTTCACCTGTGGCAGTCAAGCAATACTGAATTCACATTTGAAATTTAACCAAATCCTCCATTACTCACATGAAACAATACTGAATACACAAAAATGAAACCTTCAGAAAGCGGCTGGGTTACATTCATTTAGGCACTGCTTGGGGATACACAAAGAATGGGAGGGAATATGGGGTGGCAGTGATGGGATTCGAATGCACGTTCTCCGGGGCAAGTAACCCCTTGATTATCACCAATAACAACGTGAGACAGGTTCCTGGTTCAGGTGAAAGGGCGATAATAACAAAAGTCTAGTGTTTGCGCTTTTTATCCACAAATGTAGCTTTGAAATTGACCTGTGCCATTCTATCCCTGAGGTTTCAGGTTCGATCTCCAGTTGGCTCGACAGATTGGAAGCATGCCGATGAGACCCATCCACGCCAAAACAGCTGTCCAGGGCTTGAAGGTTTTTCAGTCCCCGTGTAGTTTGCCTTGCACACGACGAAATTCAACATATAACCAAATCACTACTCTTATGGGTTGCGCTTCTGGGTTCGGTAAATCCGGACAAAGCTTAATAATCAACGAACAACATTGGGTAAAGCGGCCCGTGTACTTACTCACTTTCCACTCGTATTGCTAGTTCATCCATTTTTTCATCTTTATCTTTCGACTACTCTCAGCAACTTAGTAAAAAATAAACGTACGAGAGAAAGAAAACGTAAACGATATACGGTCATGTGAGATGATTGGCTACACCAAGTCAAACCGAACTGAACTGAACGGGGACATGAGAGTTCGATGGCAATAGAATGCATTATTGAGCGTGGGTTCGCCGGCGCTCGCGTGTGTACGTGAGCGCGCACATACATTCGTGATAAGACGGCAGAATTTCGGAAGAGCATGCAATAACCACATTCCGGTGTTGCCATATGCGTTGATACTCCGTTTATCAATTATCAAATTGAGAACAACAACGTGGCGAACAAGCCCAGTTTCAGTTATTCGTGATGATGCCATTACATAATGTTAAATAGGACTAACAATAAGAACAAACAGAGAATGATATATTCGGGTCCTAATGGTTCAGCTCCGACTCTACTCATGAGTGTAAGTGTGCTTGTGTGAAATTGATCACAGTGTCAAACGTCCAAGTGATTGCGCAAGTGTTGGAGTGGATGAACTGGGCCAGGGAAGATTGTGCTTGTACAAATTTCTGGTCTTCAAGAGGTGGGGCTTTGGATACAAGGCTCCAGTCGTGGCTAAGATACGAGGCTTCACTGTTCTTTATTTCCCAAACCGAACATTGTAAAACGGTCGGAATGCGCTTGCTACATCCAACGAGTGATCTGACTCAACGAGATGCGAAGCCGGTTAATGTGCCCGAACGCGATCGGATAAGCGCCTGGTCGCGTGACCAATGTACCCAGTTCCACAGGAACAGGTGAATGGGTATACACAGAATGAAGCTGCGGAATGTGGCACTCTGTCCTTCAGTCGGAAACAGACAACTGGTTTCGATTTGAACACAGCTTTTAATTTTGCAGCGTAAAATGTTCTACTTAATGCACTTGTGAGCTTTCTTTAAAAGATTTCCGCGTGCGTATCTCGCTTGAACGGGCAGATGCACATGTAAATACACATGTAAATGGATATACTGTCCATTCCGCGTTGCCTTCTTATGCATCGATAACTGGACGGAGCTATCTTTGCGTAGTCTCATGAGTACGTCCAGAAACGCTGGTCTATTGTCCTTTTCTTTTTTCCAGAGCAAACTTTATGTTGGGCTGGACACTATTGAATTCTTCAAGCTACCGATTGGTGTCCGCATTTGGATCTGTTATAAATAATGTATCACCAACGTATCGTCTGTACAGGGTACATTTACTGATATGAGGCTCCAGGGGATCGTTCTCAAGTTTTGTCATAAACGTGTCAGCGAACTGTGGTCTTAAAGGTGACTCCATTGCAACCCCATCTTTTTGGCGATATAATTCACTGTTGAATTGAAACTGTACGCGATGCGTGCATACCAATAACAATTGTTTCAGCCCATCCGATGGAATCTCACATCGATTTCCTCTCCTGAATGAATTCACATACGTGATTGGTAGTTTCACTAATTGACACATTAGTAAACAAAGATGTAACGGCAAATGACATCATTTGTTTGCCTTCAAGTTTGAGGTCCTTCAAAGCTTCTACCAGATCAAAAGTGTCTCGTAGACTGTGGCTGCAAATTGCTAATCTTACTGGTTCCAGTATGATTGCCAACCACTTTGCAACGGGCGTGATACGAGGAGTTGCACATATCAAGAATGGGTCTCCTAAGAACACCCTCTTTGTGTACTTGCGGAAGTCTATAAAATCTAGGAATTGTTGTACCCGTGGGCCCTATTCTCTCGAAAGTCAGTGCATCGATTGTTCCCTTTTGCTTTAGATGTCGTAATTTCGTGGAGATAATTTTTTTCTATCTGAATCGTCTTATTCTTCTCGGTCGGAGTCTTCCTAAACTTGAACGAGTCATTAAATATCGACCTCATCTCATCTATGTACTCAGACCTGTTCATGATTACAATACCTGCATCTTTGTCTGATCTTGACAACATCAACTCTTTATTGGCTTGTAACTCTTCGAGACGTTTCAAGTGTTCCAACGTTAGCAGTCCCTTTGTTGATGGTTTATGATCGCGATATTGATAACACGAGTCCACAAGTGTGGACTTAGGTTTCCCTAACTCGTGAAAAGAAGATAGCACTAGTCCAGGTAGCTCATCAAATAAGCTCTCCAATTCAACCTCCAAATCTAACTGTTTAATTAATTTATAAAACAATTTAGTTTATTAATTTATTTGTAGGCGAAAAAAGTATATGGAGAAAAAGTGTCAATCGGTCTCGTGACACAACGAAACAAGTTACGTTTATATAAGTACAGATTTTGGCTCGCAAAGTACTTCTGAAATCACATTAGCTATTAAAATAAATTCAGCCGTTTTATGAGTAGTAGTACATGAATGAAGCACACGACAGGTTGCACGGGCCTTGCCGCTCGTCAGGTATGCCTACCCGGTAATCTTCTGTCTGGTCATGTACTTGAACTCCCGATATCAATTATGCAATGCGAATCTCATTTACAACTCGGGTAGTGGGTTTGAGAATTGTTTGTCGTGTGCATCGGAGAAATTTTATCCAGTCATTCATATGCTACTCATTATGAAAACGCTGCAAATCGGTCCTAGCGTCAACTTAGGTGAGGTTTGACACATCTGACCCACAAAACCTGATACAGATTCATCGCAATGATTCTTTGAGACTTGTTCGTCTCAAATCGACTCCCCTAGCTACAGATGAGATTGGTATTGCATAACAAATTTCGCTGTTTCTAGTTGATGTATAATTATTACTATTTGTAAGTGTTGAAAATATGAAATAGTCAACAGAAGGATCATAATTCCGTTGCAAATGAATCGCTGTTCATAGGTAGCATAGATTGATTTTGATATCTAATTGTGGATAGCAACTTCGACTAATCCGATTCAGGATTCAGTGTGAATGAGCTGTGGCCTGATTTTAGTTCACACTACAACCAGTGCAACCGAGAGCGTCCTTTAAACGCCTCGTGGTATTGGGGATATCACGTTGAGCGATATTATACACGTTGCTGAAGGCTTATTCCGTGAATTCTCAGGTTGAGAGAAAATCTCCAATCGATAACGGGGCTACCGTTGATTGCATATTGCACGAATTTAAAATAAAATATCTATTGAAGCACCCAGTATAAAGTTACCGTCATCCGCCAACTGTGAGTCATAATTATCACACTCGGTCGCGCTCATCCGTCAATGGCCTGAAGCTCACTCGGGCAATCATGCAGGGCATGAGGGGGGGGGGGAAGAACAGTCAGTTGGTAAGTCTCTACTCCATCCCAGCGAAACTTTCTTCTTAGCTCGGTAACTCACTCAAGTATTTTTATGTTTATGGAGAAACTAGTTAATTTCGAATGAACGGGTATTGTGGTAGACCCGGTCCGATCGGTGACGTATGATGGACAAAGCACCAATCACTTTGTGGGTTTCCTAGCCGAATGCGATTGGTGGATTCACTCAAAGTTACAACTTTTTGACTTGAATTAGAACGGGTACAGAAACATGTCCATTTTGGTTTAGGGTATGACATACGTTGTCCATTCGAAATACTTCTCATATCGTTTGACGGAACATGGTACCAATTTGAGCCCTACATGGCGCATCAAATCCGTCAAACTCTAATTGGTTTGCACTTTGAACCTGATAAAACTACAATCTCGTTTTCAGTGGATACCACTTTCGAAAAATCCTCTGTCAAATCCCGTTCGCAATCTACCACAAAGCCCATAGATGTCCCTAACCGTATACGGTTCCACTTCATGCATTGGGCTAAACCGTTGTTCGCGCACAAAAGGCCCCGCCGCGTGGTGACCACTTCGACTCGGGAAGGGGACGTGGTCGTGCGACCGTCGCGTAGACGTTCGAAGTACGTCGGGCATCAGCACCCAGCACATGGGATCGATATCATGCGAGACAGTACTGGTCTGTTCTATTGGGTGGCAGATCGTCAGTTCTCCGTAGCGCGGCTGGTAAGTTTCGATGTAGGATTATAATATCATCCGCTAACAGTAAAATAGTTTGTCATTTCAACCGTGACCGCTCAACGTGAGAACACAAACGCACAGTCGACGATCGATAAACATTTTTCTTCAAAAACAATCATAAATTTACTTCAGCCACCTTATCATGACTCAGGTGATGCTACACCTATTCATATGAATAGGGTAAATTCAAAATTTAGACTGTGAACGTTTTGATTAGCCAATTGGGCTTTTCACAGATACTAGGCACTATTGATGAACTTGCGCGTGGGTGAGTACTGGACAGCTGTTTCATCTTGTTTGGGACTCGTCAGTTGTGCCGTGTACTGTTTGTGTCCCTGTCAGGACTCGAACTATGAATCGTCGCGTTTGGAGTGCACACCCTCACCCTTGGGCGACATGGTCGACCATCATCACTTTGTTCAAATGGCTCAATCAATTAAAACGGTGCCTGTTGCTTGTGAAAAACCGAATAGAGGAAGCAATAATATGGATGCCGGAGTAAGTGGCAAAACATGTGGAATAAATAGATCCTTGGTAGGACCGACAAAGATAAGGTAAAATTGCATGTAACCAAAATATTTTAAAGACAAATGAAGTAAAAATGCGATAGCTGATAAAAACGTTTCCTGATGCACAAACATAAGCATTACCTTTTCTGGAAGTATCATCTTCTAGTGTTTATACACAGTTCCATTTGGTGAAACAGCTGGACCATGCTGAAGCGGATAACAATTCGACCAGTTCAATTAAGGCCTCCACCATACATTAGGGAACACAAAACGTCACAGAAAGGTAGGGTTGAACTGTAAGGTGGGTGACCAACATCCTGGATGCGTTCTCTAACCAGAAAATTGATGACAACATGGGATCTGTGTGCAGATGCGTGGTTACGGAGCATCAAAGTCCCTCGTACTTGAGTCCTAGAAGGACGCCTGGCAAAACCTTCCAGCAATTTCAGCAGATTGTGGGTGGTGTACCAGTCTCCGGTGAGTGTACTTTGCTGTACGAGCGGCAGCGTAGCCCTAAGCCCGTTTTTGACCATGAACACAGTTATCACGTGCTTTAACATGCTGCGCTCGCGTTGGAATATCAAACGTGGCGCCTCACCAACCGGCATCCACTGAGCCTTGTCTCTGGGTCGAAACCGTACACCAAGTCTCATTACCATTGATGATCTCTCAAACTGCATTGAAACGTCCAGTATCAAACCTGGCGAGCATGGTGCGGCACCAGTTCACCCGAGCTGTTTTCTGTTCCTCATGTAGAATGGTGCGAGTTGATTCCTATGAAATCCCGATAGCTTTCATCAGTTATTCACTGTCACCCACGCATTCTCCTCCACCATCGCTTGTACAGCAGCAATGTTTTCGCTGTTGTGACCTCCACAGGTCGACCACACCGTGTCTCATCATCCAGCGAACGCCTATCAACTTTGTTCTTCTCAAATCACTCAAACACAGCGCTTCTCGAAGGTGTGTGCGTTGTCACCACAGGCAGCTCGCCAACGATCAACACTCTGCTGTTGCTGCTTTAAACCACATTTGTAGTCGTGGCAACCATCGCCCTCCAGTAACATCGACTAAGCTCAATTCAAAAAGTCTGAGTATAACGACCCATGCGACTATATAGTGAGCTGTGCTCGGCTGTTGATGTTTGGTTATGTGAGTTGCAATCATTGAACAATACTCACAATAGATTCTAGTTCATGTTTTCCTTGCCCAATCATCTGCACCTGGTACTCGTGTATTGCTTATCCGGAAAGTATTTGCTCGGCCCTTGCACATTTGGAAAATGATGTTCAGAATGTGAGAAAAAGAGAGAAACGAAGTGAAAAGCTGGGAAGGGTTTTCGGGGCTGCTTTTTCTTCACTTTATTCAGTGGCATTAACAATCTGAATCTATCAATCATGAACCTCACTGACAAAAGGCCTATCCACTCGGGAACCGGGCAACCGATCAGTCCTGTTCATTCCATGTGCAACAATCGATAGAACCATGGTTTCTTTATTAATAACCCAATAATCACTAAGTAAATAAATCCAATAGTGACTTTTTCCAGTGGTTGACAGGTTAGTTCAAACCCTATTACTCATCTCTTGCAAGCAGTCAGCTGGGAAGTTTCATTCAATAACTGTCAAAGGTGGGAAACATGCGGAAACAACAAGATAGCACAGAATATCGTTGTCCGAACTGAGACTGTTTAAGCCTGATACAGTTCAAGATGATATTTTTGTCGTTCTAGGGTGTATAAACCTTCATTGAATTACATTGAAGCGTTTCTAGATGACATTGGAAACTGACATGTGTTTCCAAAATGAGAGTCAATTTGCATGAGTTTGACCAGTCTGTGTGCATTCATGCACTATTCGCTTCCCGCCATGTATCGGTTTGTCTATTTTCTCGTCCATTCTCGCCCCTCCCCGTCTCCTGGTGGATTTCAGTCACTGCGTGAGATGATGCAATGCACGTTTTGTGATCACATCCTCGTCTGTCTAACCACACAGCAACGCACGTCCAAGCTGGGACTGGCCAGTTTCGTCATGCCTCTTCGATCCACCCGGATCCCGATGCAAGAGTTGAAACCGATAGTGTTTCTCGGCGACGGTGCTCTGGTCGAACAGGAATGGTGCTCTTTGAGAAATTTTCCACAAATCTACATTCTTTCCGTGAGTGTGCCTGTGTGTGTGTGTTTGGCCCCAGTTGACCGCCCAGACAAGTGTGCATGCTCGCAGCAGGCAGACGCTCGCCACGAGTGAGCACATACACGTGTGTGCTCACGCATCTGTGTTGGTGTTGGTGTGACCGTATCGTTCGATGCACAGCTTAGAAGTGGAATGTGACTAAGGTTGGGTTGAAGAAATGTATCACGGGACAAACATACTTTCGAGAATTTAGTAGTTTGAGAATCGAGGTGGATCTAATTCGATCATGCAGTGAAGTTCGTCGTTTGTAGATCGTGAAATGAGAAAAGTTGGTAAGCACTGTACAGTTACCTCGATCCGGTCAACCCGAAGATCATTGCCTGTATCGTCTTAGGTCACTGAGTCCCATCTAACGAATGCCCGAACAACGTCTGCCATGCAGTGGGCTATTTGCAGACATTTGTTGGGGCTGGAAGAAACAGCAAAGTGAACAGGCTATGACGCAGTGTAGATGGCGGAAAAGATTGTGCTCAGATTTGGCTTTCGTCACGGTTTCCTGGTTCCCCGACTGGAGCCCCGAAAAAATTCAGATTATGAAAACTGACGCAAGCGTTTCTCGAAATCAATTTCAAAAGAAAAGACCATATCGCAATGCTGTGCGATCTGTGTCCAGGACGATTTTGATGCATCTCAATACGTCTTTGATAACATTCTCAACATTGTCTTTGACTGTAGACACTGCGAGATGTGGCATCGAACCGAAGTCAATGGCGTGAATGCGTCCTCTTCTGCATGCGATCCCAAGAATGAAACAAGCAATAATTTTGTTATCGCCAAAGCTGACTGTTTTCTCCCCTTTATGTTTCAATATTTCGTGTTTAACCCACGGTCATTTTGGCGCCATACATATAATGATTGGTTATATATGTATATACATATATATAAATATATATAAAGTAGCAAAGTGACTTCATCGATCTAAATGAGACATCATAGTTAGAACGCTAGCACACTGCCCCCCTCAACCACTGGGCAGCTGATAAGACAGCGAACTAACAAGGTTGAAACAGTTGTGTAGTGCACGGTGTGATACATAGAACAATTTTCAGATAACCGCGTTCAGCAACTGATTACTTCATTGCCTGCTAGTAGTTAGTAGAGATCAAGTCCCCTTTTGTTACGCGCCCTATACATGTACGTAGTTTCTCAAGAATGGGCACACTTCTCGCTTGTGTAATTTGCCATGAAATGGATGGGGGCCATAGTGTTCGAGAAAGATCACCCAAGGACTAATTCAAATCTAACTAATTCCTTAAATATCAATCCTAGCCAGTTCAGTTCGCGCTTCATTTGTTCTGCACGCGACGAAATTCGCTAGTTAATTCAGCCATTCCTTCCACGTATGCACAACTTGGCAGCAGTTGATTTTCCGTGGACTAACTGAAAATTTTAAACTTTGGTCGTTCGTTTGCATACCATATGTGCATCGATATACTTATGCCATTGCTATCTATGTCACCCTTGCCCCACGGTGACAAAAATTACCCTATCTAAAACACAAGTTTACGCAGAATTCGCTGGGAGATAATGTCAACAATATGTGATGATTGTCCTAACTTGAAGGTTATTTTATTTCCAGATGAAAGAAAATTATTTTTACACATCCTATTAAATACGAGCGGTCAATCGGGAAAGCTAAACTCTGACGAATCACAGTGATGACATGGAATTACGGACAAAGTCAATCATTTCCATCTATAGATCTGATAACACGTTTGTCACCAATAGGTTTCTTTCCCGACTTAATGGAAATACATTCTCAACTGGAAAGTGTGTGTGAAGAAATGAACACAGAACTATTGCTACGGTGGATAAGAGAGACACTTGATTTTAAATACCATGTTGAGGGGCATATGGGTAACTGGTGCTTTTGTAGCTTGTGCATCAGTTCCCAGTATTTTTCGATGATAGGTCAAGTTTATTCAAGTCCGGTTCTGTAACTGTTCTTAGTTTTGCATTTACAAGACCGATAGGAAGTTGAGACCTCTTCTGGATGAGAAGAGCCGGACGAGCCACTTTCGCGCATTGGTTCGAAGTGAAATCTTGTTGCGTGTAAAGAAAAGAATGGTCTTGTTACTTCTGCATGTGTGCATAAGCGCATGACATACCACTTTGATCTCAGAAAAGACACGATCGTTTATCTGATGACCAACAGTCTGTTGAAAACGTGGATTTTTCGGATCTGCATGATGAAATATGGATTAATCTAATCTACATCCATCAAGACAATCATCATCGTCATCATCATCACAAAAAATCGACAACAGGTGTTATGAACACCTAGACAACCCCTGGCACTGAATTGTAGCACGATGAACCAGGTGGTCTGTTTCATTCAGCGCTAACATCAGCATCAGCTAATATTCAGAAACCAGGACATGAGAAACCTCGATTGATTGGATAGTTTATAGTACTATTAGCATGACATCAGAAAATGAAAAATTGCACTTTATAAGCGAAACAACGATAAAATATTGGTTCAGGGTACGGTTTCGTGTCTTATTTGAGTCATCCTAGAATGTAACCCAAATGAAACACTTTACAGAAGCACAACACATATCAAAGATTGGTGGAATAGCATCTGATAAACGTGAAAATATTGTAGTATACACGCACTTACACACATATACGAAACACGTCATAGCAGCTCGATTACTTTCTTGTGGAATTCATATGCTGCAGTAGTCTATCTACTGTCCAAATCTCGTCTCAGTCAAATATATTTGAAGTCTGTTGACAAGGAAATTTTATTGACATATCAAATTCTACATTTCTCTTGATGAACTAAAGGTCGCAACTCACACAGCAGTCAAATGTGGTAGCACCACAATAGTATGCTGCACAGATGTATAGAGATTTCGAAGCATGCGTGGCAGGCTACCATGCTCATACAAGTGAAATAATTTTCACATTCAACTCACGGATACTAGTAAGTAATGGTGTGAGATAATTGATATTGATTGATTAGGACTGGCAATCGTAACCGTACATTCCTCAGCTGTTTCAGCCAATCACTCAGAAGCAGTAAGCACGAGTTTCGCTCCTACTAGAGCCCATCAATGGTGCAAATCACCGTCCCGTCTGGGATTTGAATTCTGGACCCAGCTGTATTGAAGGCCTGTGTGTTACCACCGTGGTTATTCGACGGCTGAACAGAATTGCCAATTCATGTTGGTCTAGGTATATATATATATATAACACCAATCTTTACGGATACAGCATCAAATAGCCACTGGTGAACGAAAAAATATAGGTACAAAAGTGGGGAAAAGTGGGGAGAAACAATTTTTTGTTTGTTTACTGTATGCCACTTTCAGTTTTCTTTTCGTTTTTGTTTATTTTTGGGATTACAGACAAGAGAGGATGCATTCGCTCCACGGACTTCGGTTAGATGCCATATCCCGCAGTGTCTCCAGCCAAAGAGAATCTGAATCTTTGGGGCCCCAGCCGGGGAGCCCCGAAACCCCAACGGAAGCCATATCCGAGTACAACCTCCTCAACCCTCTGTACCACGTCATAACTTGCTCCCCTCGTTGTTTCTTCCAGCCTGGACCGATGTCTGTGAATAGTGCAAGGTGTGGCAGACAGTGCTCAAACATTCGTAAGGCGTTCCCCAAGCGACCTAAGACGATGCTGTGAAATTATTTTGCTCAAAGGAAAATTATCTGATCCTAGCACCCGTCGTTTGACTTCATCATTATTCACACCAAGTTCCCACCATACGCGGGCGATGTTGTGCAGACAGCTGTTGTCGAAGACTGATAGTCGCTGGACATGATCTGCTCGGAGAGGCCAAGTCTCGCAGCCATAGAGCAACACGGTGCTTACCGTTGGGCAATACACACGCCCTTTCAGTGAAAGGGATATGTCGCGCCGGCACCAGAGATGCCACAGATTAGTAAACGCTAGTCTAGCTTTGATCATGCGTTGATAGATCTCCTCACCCACACCTCCACCAGCCATGATGCAACTCCCAAAGTAGACAAAGCTTTCGACTACTTCCAGAGTATCATCATCCCACGAAAGTGCAGGAATGGGTTCCTGTCAATCTTGCAACAACACTTTGCACTTTGAAGGTGCAAATGACATACCATAGCGAGTAACCTCAATTGCCAAACGGTTTAACGACTCTTGAATCGTTGGTGCGTTGTAAAGTAATATCATCGGCATACTCTGAATCTACGACTCTGTCCCCAGGAAGAAGCTCGACGTCATCGTTCGTTAAGTTATGTAACGCGTTTTGCCGAACATCATCTATGGCAAAGTGGTAGAGAAACAGAGAGATAGGGCAACCCTGACGCACTCCACTGGTGGCAGGAAATGGGGGTGAAAATTCACCATTGGCCCTAACCTTCCCCTAGGTCTGGTGACAGAGCTCTTTTAGGAGTGAGACATACTTCTGAGGTACTCCGTGACTCCGCAAACAACTCCATAGTGCAGGGCGATCGATAGAGTCGAAAGCTGCTCTCATGTCTAAAAACATGACAATGGTGTCATCTTCTAAGGTAGTCAGTCAGTTCATTTTGATTATCTGCACTACAGACGAGCTGCAATAAGAGCGAAACTCAAGGCTGGTACTCCCGGGTGTATGGTGGACTGGATGAGCACAAGGTTGTGCATGAAGGTGAACTTTGAAATAATTTAAACGATATTGCACACTCCTCAATATTTTAGCACGTTATTTGACATATTCGTAAGTGACTGCTTTCGCATGTATTCATTCATTTGTAAAATGGTAATTCTCATTTCCCGATTGGTCATCGCATCTGGATCAGTGCATAATGAATGACCATTGTGATTTTATCCGTGATCTCTAGGGGTAGATCGGCAAATTTGAGTGCCTTACTGATTCACAACATCTGAGTTACAAATTCGTCATCAGCGTATTCGGATCATTTGAATCGCATTGGAGCATCAATCGCGAACATCTAGACAGTTTCAGAGAAAGCCAACTGAGCCACTCCCATTAACTCACACAGTGCTTAAAGATGAAGTTTTCCAAATGCCGCGTTTCGGTTATCTCTGCCAATGCGCTTACGTACCAGGCAGAGGTTTACCATTTTCGAAAACTGATAACTGAACACAAATTTAACCACCAGAAGTAAATTGAACCAACTGCACTTGCTGACGGACAAGTTTTGTGGTCCTAGATTATGCCCACACGAGCTACGTCTCATCAGTTACAGGAGCAGCTTTTCTGGGACCGGTAAAAGAACGACGTGCTACAGGACTGTTACTTCAATGCGATTCAAACTGATAAGTTTCCGTTTCCAATATGATTAGACTGTTACTGTCAACTGAAGTTTTAACACTAGGGTAATTTGGTTAGATACTCTAAAATTACAGACGCGAAAAGCTATCAATAACTATGTCTCACAAGGCAGAAAAAGTTTAAATAAATGTTTCTATTAGTTCGGATAATTAACTCTGACAACCACGTTTAGGCACGCCCTCCCAGAAATTGTTGTGATATTCGAAGAAAAGTACTTATAATTAGAACAAATTTAAAAATGAAAATTTCTAAACCGGGGTATGTCACTGGATTGTGAAACCATCACGTGACAACAGCACCATTGCCAGTGGTTATTCGGTAAAAGGAAATTCTCACCATCTCTTGTCGTTTATTGTGAGTACCTCAACTCTGACTGGAGCAGTTAGAACAAATTGAAGGGGTTGGTTTTTCATTTCTGTCCTCTTTTAGTTCGCCTTAAACGAATGCGAACGAATAGTCTTAAGTGCAAGAACTTGTGAAAAACTATCGGTTCGGATTACTTGAATAGCAGGTGGTATTTTTGTCATGTTCTGCTTAAACGTATGACCGACAAGAGCGCCTCTTGCTTAGGTCTGAACGATGATACTGGAGGGAGAACTCCACTAAAGAACAACAGTCAGAGCGTATTATCTATGATCAAGATACCACATGTAAATAAAAATAGGTAAATTGGCCTTACAGGAAAAACGTGGTGACGCGCCAATCAAATCGCATCCTTGAAATTCGAATTGGTTGATCGAACGACAATTGTCTCATTCGTCATATTCATTCAATCCGCTATCGACTCGCCTCGGGCCTCTCGAGCGCGGTTGTGACATGACGCGGATCCGTGCGTGGCTTGACAGGTTCTGTGACTTCCATCTTAACAATTTTATGTACACGATCCCAAAATGCGCCACCGGAAACAATAACTCAAGGGGTTCCGGCTGATAGTATCAAGGATACTCCCAATGACGTTTCTTGTCATGCGGGATGAACAGGCGCAATTCTTTTCAGGGGACTCCATGCATTTATTCTCAGTCTAGCACCGGATAAGAGAGGAAGAATATTATCACCCCTGAAGTTACCGGAGTTATTAACCTGTATCCCTCCGTGAGATAACAATATCACGCAGTTACGTATTCCGTATTCCAGTAGAAAAGCTTCAGAATTCAGCGTAATGATCCACAGATATATGTTTATGGTACATAGTAATTCTCTGAATGCGACGAACGTTTAGTGGAGCTCGTAGCTAACCTTCATTTGCTAGTACACAATAAAAAATCTTGACTCTACCTGTCTTAGATCTAGCCATTAGGTGGAAATTCAGTATTTATTGGTGGTTTACGCTTCAGTTTCGCTGGGACACGTCTGAATCCAAAGGATGAAGAGCTCTGGATAAGCGTAATTATCTGTTGATTCTAAGCTTGTTCATTGGCATAATGCACGAACTGTGTATAACACACAACCAAGTGGCTCCACGGTGTCGATGGAATTTGTTGTATTTCACTTTGTGTAAGCTTCAAAATATCAATAACAACCTCCGGTGGTCCTTGAAGATTCTCTTTTACCCCAAGCAGGTAAGCACTAATTGAACAAGATTCATCTGAGATAGCTTTTACCCTTATGAAACAAAACCAAGCACATGCAACCCCATTATTGGGGCTAGCTTCACCAGCGAACTCAACAGAAAAAACAATTTATCTGTCTATCCTAATTAAATGATAGTTAAACAATTTCAGTGGCTCTCACTTACGAAAGCCCGGATTTTCATTCGCAAACGTTTGCAGCCCCATGGAAGACCTGACTTAGTGAGAGGCTTTCTATTGGAGTTAACAGATAGTCAACTGTCTCCTTTAGTTGCCAAATTGAACTGACTGGCCATTTCTGAAGACGACACGTAAACAAATACGATTTGGCAATTCGATTCAGCAGTGGCATGCGTTGATTGGTACAGTGGTAACGCACAGGCCTTCAATACAGCTGGGTCCAGAATTCAAATCCCAGACGGGACGGTGATTTGCACCATTGATGGGCTCTAGTAGGAGCGAAACTCGTGCTTACTGCTTCTGAGTGATTGGCTGAAACAGCTGAGGAATGTACGGTTACGATTGCCAGTCCTAATCAATCAATATCAATTATCTCACACCATTACTTACTAGTATCTGTGAGTTGAATGTGAATTCCGTATTCATTCTCGTAAATCCCATAAGATTACAGCCCTTAGTGAGGATAAAAAAACAATACGAATAAACGATCGATGTGAAACACATAAAGACAATAACCACCGCTTGCCGGTTTTGCTAGATAGATTACGTCATCTATTTGATCACGGACAACTTAGTCAACTCTTTTCCAGAGTGGTAACAATACCTGGACCAATTGCTGTTGAATGTATATGAAGAGTTTCGTTGATAATCGGTGTTCAAAACGTCGCTTTCTTGATGGGTATGCAATGAAGCCCGGTGAATATCACAGTTTTATAAAATTTCAGACCGATGTCAGCACATCTACCAAGTGAATGACCATTGCCCTAGATGGAATCGGGTTTCTCTCGTGTCATCGCTGGCAGATTTTACAAATGCAATTAAACACCTACCTCAATTTTTGATCGGCATAAACAGAACCCTATGTGCAGTTGAGCTAGAAATTAAGCATGATGGAGATCAAAAGATTTGGTTTATCTTGGTTTCGAAATCAGCTCATGTGGAAGAGACTAATACACTCTCCAGTAGTGGGGTATTACAGGTGAACTTACCAGTCGTACCATAACCACCAAACTTTTTCTCCAACAGTCTCCTTCCCCCCCCCCCATGAGTTGTTGTTTAAATGAAATTTTCTATTCATCTACAATCTTAGGGCTCTCCACTGAGTCGGGCCTACCTAAGAGCTGCGGGGGTGGAAACGTGCTCCACTTGTGTGGTTCTATCTTGCTCGGATGGAACCCACGGACGACAAACTCTGATGATCGATAAGGAGAGTATTCTGTCCACATTGAACATTCGGCGTATGTTCGCGGAGGTCAATGAACACGGTGAGTTTTGTCTCTGTCAGTCCAATGCTGTTTGTAAAACTCAAACTCTGATAAATCCGACGAAAATTCTCACGTGTTACGCCTCATATCTTCAGAAATCGCTTGTCGGGAACTGATATTTTGCTAGAGAAATGGAAATAGTTACACCTTACGAAATTTTGACGAGGAATCAGATCTGTTTCAATGCATTAGGTGACAAATAAATGACAGCGTAGAGCATTATCAAAACAGAACTCTCATTGTGAGTAGAAATCGATACACCAAAGCGCACGGGGAAATCTAGTTTGGAGAAAATAATAGTAGATTTCTTGATGCAAAATGAATGAGTCTGAAGGAATAGTTTTCTCAAAATAAGTATCGTTAGTTTCGAATTGAATCCAGCATAAACCGACATACTACAGCCTTCCTGAACAACACTGGTAACGTGAATGCACCAACGCAACTGGCGATCGAATCGAAGCCCTAACAGACAGGACACTGGGGTACCATACATCGAATCATGTTCATGAAACCGTAAAGATTATTTGACTCCCATTTTCTGCCGGTGAAATTGACCCATTCAAACTGTATTTATTGTGATGAACTTGGTCAATATCGATTACAGTTGCAAATTGGGAACACAAATCTGAATCAGTGTTCTGATTGATGAATTCTCAGTTGTCAGATTGACTTTCCGTTAACTCCAATTTTCTGGCACATAATAGTTAATGGTTGAACACTAACACCGTCGAGTTTATCTAGGTGTCATGTGGTCCATTTTGCGCCAATAAATCTCAGAGCATCTACGATCGCCAGCTTCAAAAAATGCGCGAAGTTTTCTGTGAATATAAAATTTGCTCTTTCAACAGTTGCAGATGATCTTGTATTTTAATTTACCGAAATTTCATCGAAACCATGCTGAAAAAATGCCTTCAATTTTGTTGTATTTTTCATCATCAGACTGTGATTCTACAACGGAGCAAACACCCATGGTTATCACCGAACTGTGTGAGTTTCTCCGGTTTTTTATCACTGCCTCATCGGTAATTAGATTTATCGATCGCCTACTAATATTTATTAAAGCTTGAATATTCCCATGATAGCATTGAGAAAAGGAGTCGGCGAGCGAACAATTGTTTTCAGATATTCCTAGTCATGCTCTTGCATATCATATAGTGGAAAAAATTCTTACATACTCATAGCCATTGGCTCAATTTAAGGTCATTAATCGGAGGCAGAGAATAATGGAAGCGTATGCGTGTGTTGTGTGTTCTTTGCGTGTAGGACTGTTTAGCGTGTTAACTGATGTGACCTTTCCTCAGTTGGGTCAAGTGACAAGTCATGTTCTGTCTTGGTTTTCACATCCGGCCAAGGCGCCAAACGTTTTTGGGCACACAGGTTAGGGCCTAGTAAGCAAATGGCGATCGCCTCGACCAGGGCCACCAATTCGTTTTCTGAATAATATTTATTAAATAGTGTAAATTTGTGTGAGGAAACAGTGATGAAAAGCGTTATTTGATGCGTTGCGGAACGTGCTTTCTTGTTGCAGATGCAATTTTCCATTATGCTATGACCATATTAATTGGGAATCGCATTAGATTGATAAGTCTTACATTAACTTAAAAGACTTGTAAAAATAACTGGAGTGAACGACAGAAGGAGTTCTGCATTAGTGTTGGCGCATAACATGGCACAAACCACTTGTTCCAAAATCGGGGGCGCGCTACATTCTTTTCAAAGCCAAGTACCGCTTGTAAATTCATGACAATCTGCATATAAATTGACGAACAAACCGATAGAGTGTAATACAGCAACTGACTTATAGGTAATACATGTAATGTTTCAACAAGAGAAAAGAGATTATCTCGTGGAGAATTCGATGGGGCCAGTTCAGTTTTTACAACCATTAAACATGCGCCTTCGGTCGATGTCTTTTCGCCGTCCATTATGATCAAGGATTAGGATGAAGACAGAAAAGTTGACAGCGGAATAAAACAGAAGATGAAGAATTCATATTTACCAGGGTTGCAAGAATAATGAGTAGATGAACGAATGCCACACGGTTTGCAACACTCAGCCATATCACTCACGATCCCTAACCACGGGCTAGGCTGATTCCGCGGTCCCCATTCAGGTAAATTAATGCGATCCATATGACTGGATATCATGGTTAGGATTTTCATACCCTCATGCCGGATTTCAGTTTGACCGCCCTTGACCTTTCTTCAAACGCTTCCTGTCTCGACAAACATCGCGCGCCGTGGCAACCTATTTGGCCATATGTGTAACGCATACCGCAACTAATGCAATCTGTGGAGGTCAGTAAATCGCCGCAGTGGTAAATCGCGATTACCCGAAATTCTGCGCCTAACCTCAGCACTACTTGTCCGGTTGCGTCACCATAATCGAGCGTAGGCAGCGGTGTTTGAACACCAACAATCTATTTTTATCCTATTTTCGTAATGGTCAAGTCTCTGCGCCGTGGATCAGCACAGATTTAACTGGTGCGGCATACACTCGGTTCTTCATAGACAAATAGATGTTGCAATGGCATCCCAGATGCCTCAAGTTTGCAACTGTCAATCGAGCCTTCTGTATGCGTGCCGACACTTTTTCCGTCATGAATCCCCCAGGTGAATGACAAAATTATTCTACATCCTCTACTAATTCCCCAGTTAGAGTGAGGTCAGGGACTAGGCCAACCCAGTCCAGAAGCAACTCTTTACACTTTTATTTCCATCAAAAACGTGATCGTCACGCACTGATGACGCAATCATCTAAAACTCGTTCTGTGGCTCATCTCTCAGCGTATTAAGACGGTGTTATTGTGATTTTAAGTGTCAGTAGTACTGTCTACAACCGATATAACTTCTTTGGTTCGCCAAACGTCATCCGGACAAGGAACCAAAAGTAATTTCCCTCGGTCTCGATCCTTCAACCCAACAAGGTGCCAGCGCTGTAGAGGTTAGTTCGAAACGTGGCCAGCCAACAATTATTGTTTGCTGACATCTTTTTCCCACGAAATCATATGATACATAGAGCTAATTTGATGAAATTATATGCACAATATACATCTCATGGAGCTCCACCGGTGTTGGTGGGATTACGGTGAAAAACATTGAATGGGAACTTCCGGATTTCCCAGACTGTGAGACGGCAGATCTACGGTTTGCTTCACAATGCTTATCTTAATTGGTGAATCAAGTCATTACTTTCCAACCAAACATGTTCATTAAGATTTATAAAGCTTGACTAGTCCGAATAGTTTCAGTCCACTTATCAAAGGGTTCGCAAATTTGACTCAAAGTTTGTCCCAGTAGACGATGAAATCGAACGCGAAAACCAATATAGACAATGAAATGGTTCACGCTGACCCACGAAATCACTGAACCAAAACTGGTTTTTGGGCATTACACCACGTCAACCCGTCGGAAGAGTCTCCAATCAAGCACAGGCAATTTATCTGGTGAGAAACAACATGGACCAGGACAGGTTCAACGCTTGAAACTTACCCGGTGGAAGAACTCTGCTTATGTCAAATGTGTAAGCTTTGAATACGATTGTGGTGATAAAGGTACTGCATACACTACTAATAGAAACATCAAGCTAAAAGGAACGAAAATACCGAGGAAACAACTTTCTAGTGTTGTTATTTCTTTTGCATACTAATAAAACTCCATAATAATGACGTAAAAGTATGCAGAAAAGTACAGCAGTACATAACTTCCGCTACAACCGATCTCTTCCCTCATGAATCCTAACAACAACACCTATGATTTGGACTATCAGCCGATATACAGAGCTCTTATCTGCTATCTGTAACCAGTGACTATCGAACACGGAACGGGATGGCCTGTTTCAGTCCGTTTTATGCGGCCGGAAGTATGTTCGCGTCAACAACGCTGACCAGTTTAGCCTCAAATGTGAGTTCTGCTCTATCCATACGATATATTTGTCATTTTGTCCTAATTTTTTTTACAAACAAACAAATGGAGCACAAAATTGAAGTCCAGTGAGGTGTTAGAACAACAACAAAACATTTTATACGAAATATACCCTAGATTAGAGCCCTTGAAAGTCTACTTTCCCGGAAAATTGGCAGAGTCTCGACCCTTCAACCGGGTGTTACAGTCGTGTAGTGAGCCACTAAATCAACTGTCTTCCATTAGCAGAGTATTTTCACCCAAGTGAAAGATTATAAAGCCAACATGTGAAATCATGAATGGATTGATCGGTCATGGGTGACTACTCGAGGAGCTGGACGAGAGTGGTTAAAAGGTGAAGGTCACCATCTAATCATTCTGGAAATGTGCGTTCGGATCCCATCAACTTAACCACCAACAGCACCTGATATTAACCATTGTCTGTGTTGTATTGCAGCCCTGTTTGGTCACTTTCTGTTTCCCGAAAATTGTACTATTCTGTATTTAACAAGAAGGAGTAAAAGACAAGAAAGAATCATGATTTTGGGACTTACAAGAAAAGGCGTGGGATCTGGTTTCATGATATCTTGATCGTGACAGTTACCGATTTGATTCTGTTTTAAAGCTTACTGCAATCGCGAACCGCATCTCAAAAAGGTAGCATACGACTGAATAGATATAATTCCTCATTCGGTTGCTATTTTTATACATATCTCGGAAGGAACGGGGGTCATTCTTTTGGTAACCAAAAGCCTCACATGTAAACCGACTACTTTGGCTTAGGAAACTTGATAACATCGTACCCATAAATACATCACGGACTGGTTAGTTTGTCAGACGAGTGTCCATGTCTAGACTTGGACAAATGTGAACAATGACGCACAACTTGTATTCACCCGCTTTCTGTTGCGTCAATCATGATGGGGAGTGGCTTCATTTATCTAAATGTTTTTTTCCTGAGAACATACAAAACGAGATGGCAGCAGCGGAGCTCGAATTTACAACTTTCGGATAACTGCAATAATGACACTGATCACTTAAACACGGCCGCTTGAGGGTCGTTTGCGTATGTGGTTAAAAAACCTTGGATGATGTTTCGCACCTCATCGCTCCCTCAAAATCAAGAAGTTCCGAACACAACATAACTAAACAAGTTTAAGAACCGCTGGTGGAAATGATTCACTGTTTGGGTCCCTAACCTTTATTCCATTAAG